GGGGGGGAGGGGGGGGGGGGGAAGATAAATGAACTAGTAAATTATACAGAAAAGAGGCCACAGCCATTTACAAACAAAGCCTAAGCACGAAAGCGGTAGGTGAAGAACACAAACTGTGAGGGACAACCCAGAACACAAACCAACAAACCCCACAACGAGGCAAACAAGAAGGGACCAGGGGACCAGGGTTAGCTTGGAATACCCCAGTTCTAAGCAACCTGTAAATTAACCCAAGTAGGTCTAAACTTTAAGGAATATAATCTAGGGAGATTCACTATTATACCCAATATAGGAGTCCAAATTATAAAAAAACCCCATATGAAATGGACTTTAGAAACACACACAAAGCCCATTTACAACATAACGAAAAGGCTTTTAATTTTTTTAAAATTACAAAACTGTAACTGATTTCTTAAAACAAACCCAACCCCAAAACTTCATAAAAAAGCCCGAAACACTCAATAGGGCATCAAAGTAATTTAATAATCAAAATTAAATTCAATAGGGGCAGCTATCATTTTTTGGGTTTGTTTATATAAATTAAATAGTGTAGGGTATCTATATTATTAGTGCTAAGAATGAGTATATGACTAAATATCTCTATAATCTACACCTAATGGTAATACATCTAAAAATTACTGTTTGTTGTTTATGTTGCTAAATCCGATTTGAGCCACTACTTAAGTTGATTCTGGCATAATATGTGGTCCATTCCTGTTTTCAGAACCATGATATACTTCAGTAGGTGTACTCATGTATTTTAAAATACATGAAGTAAGCATTGAATCCCACTTAAGAGGAATATTAATGATCTGTATTATCTCCATCTCTTAATTTATTTAAGGCATATCTGAATATCCTTTAACATTGTCAATCTTATTGATCTCATCGTATTTTGCAGACTTGCTTGCTCTTGGTAATATTTGGAATCGTGCTTCTCATTGTGATAGTAGTACTTGCCGCTTAATCATTGGAAAAAGTCAAGATGTGCTCTCAGGATCCCCTATGATAATTTCTCTAATGGGTTGTCTCTTGGGATATCATGTCTAATTCAAGTTTGCCGCTGTATTATAAGTTGGTATATATAGGGGGTGGGTAGCCTTAACAATTATCTGGTTGTTTTGGTTGGTTTTGGTTATGTGGGATGTGTTTTTTTTCCTTATTCTGTAAGTTGGTGTTTGGGGCTTCAGATGGTGTTCTTTATCTAATAATATAAATATTGATAAATTTCATAATTCTTTAGGTTTTCATTGGTATGCATCTGCCGGATTTTGTTTTGTTACTCGATTAGTATTTTGTGAATTGGAGTTTACTTTTTGGTCCTTTTCTTTGCTGCTTCTCTAGTTTAATTTGGTTATTTACAGTATTATTGGAGTTTAGAAGGTATTCATTTCGATTAACTTATTGGGGTTAGGATATTTGGCCAAAACATGATCAAGTCTCGACAACAGCAGGCATGGTTCTTGCCAAGAAGCATACTTGGTAATTACAAAAATCTAACAATTGAAGGTGATTTCAAAATTATAATTGATATTTACTCATAAAAATTTCTAATGTTCCTTGCAGAATCTCCTTTGCAAGATCATGATACTAGGAATTTGACTCATTTGAGTTGTCATATTTTTCTACCAACTAATATGGTGGCGGATTTGTTTGGAAATTTGAGGTCTCAACTCTTTGATTTTCTCATTTCTTAGATTGTGGCAGTTAAAAATTCTGTTTGATCTTGTCTGCTTTGGAAAAAGAAAAAAGAAGAAGAAAGAGGCTTAATTAATATTTTGCTTAATGTGCTTCACTTCACATCCATCCAGAGTACTTTGTATGCGTTTGCGTCAAATATTATTGATGGAACTGAAACTTGTAACTCACTCATCCATGGTACTTCAATATATCTAGTGTTGAAAATAAGATATACCACTAGACGAATAACTAGTTGGTCTGAATGGTTCCCTTCAAGTGTTCCGACTTTGGTACAGCCCGTAGCTAATACATCGGACTTGCTACTTGATTCTGAAATCTAGAGGAGCCAGAGGAACCAACACAACCAGAGTTCTTAACCAGAGGAATTAGAGACGGTACAACATCTGCCATTAGAGGCCGGTATTCAGCTTCTGGCTGCACACACATTGCAGCAATAGCAGCTATCTGTGAAACAATGCAGTGGCAAGAAAAATCTGAGTTGGTTGAAATTTTAGCACCAATAATTTACAGATGTTGAAGGTTTGACTATAGGAAGCTCGCTAGCTAAGCTGACCTGAATTAGATCCCCGTTTGAGTATTGCCCTCTTAGAGATGGATCAACCATTTCCAATATTTTTTCTCTGGTAGTTAACCTTGGTAGAGCCTGACGAGTCATACAACAAAAATTAGCAACTTCTTTAGTTTACACCTTAGATGCATCATACATGCATATAAATTGTAGGCATACATACCTACATAAACGTAACATTGAGTCTCTCCGTAGCAATCTAATGGTTAGACGTGTTGCACATCATCTAGCCTAATTTTGGTGAAAGTGTAACTATTAAGATTAGGGTAGCTGATGTTGCAATAAGTCTAACAATTAGGTTGTTGTAACATTTTAGATTAAACGGAATGCATGTAAATACACCATTTGTAAATGCAGAGACTCGGAATCCAATATTATATACGATTAAGTAGAAATTTGCAGGGTTCACTTTTAGTAGCATTGTATGCCATGATGATTGACTAACCCATGAGACAAGGACACGCTCTCCAGGAGGCCTCTTGGTATCAACTGGCACACGCCCGGTTAACAGCTCTAAAAGAACAGCACCATAGCTGTACACATCTGATTTTGTAGTAAGCTGTCCTGTGGAGGCATACCTATACATCACCAAAAAGTCCAAAACTCAAAAATCACAGTGAAGAGAAAAGTATTACTTATGTACACAAGGATCTTCTTGTAATTCCCTACTAAAATTGAAATCAAAGGGTCCGTTTGTAATTTTCATGAATGGACTTTGTTTTATATGCAGTCTGTATACGGACCATGCAAAAAGGCATCAAAGCAAGAAAATGTCACAGTCAGCCTTTGTCCAAAATGGTGTTTAGGTTTTAGTAGTTCTTTTGCTTTACCCATGAAGCTGATAAAAAATGACAGCTAGCATAATAGTGATCCTAGCATAAGCCCATGTGTATGCTTCTATTGCCTGCCTCTAAATTTGTTGGTATCTTAATGATCATTCTTGCGAGAAGGAGGTCCATTACAGATGATGTAGTAGCACTCACTCTGGTGCCAAATACCCCGTGGTCCCCAGAACCCGCGTCGAAATCTGACCGTCGATCTTCTCAGAACCCGTCTTGGCCAATCCGAAATCCGACACCTTGGCACGAAAGTTTTGATCAAGTAGAATGCTGGTGCACTTGAAGTCACGGTGTATGACAGGTGGGATGGCATGCTCATGGAGGAACTCAAGGGCCTTGGCACAATCAAGGGCTATCCTCAATCGGGTCCCCCAATCCAACGGCTTATGGTTGTTTGTGGAATGGAGATGGTGTTGTAGGGTACCATTGGGCATGTATTCAAATATTAGGAGCCTGTGATGTTGGTCAGCACAATAGCCAAGTAGCTCCACCAAGTATGGAGAATGCAATCGGCTTAGTAGATCCACCTACAATAGGGGAAGAAAAAAAGGCATTTGTTTAATTTCATATTTTGTCTCACACCCATGTGAAAATTTTAATAAAATATACTACAAACACACATTCTTCTTTAAAATAGAAAAATAATCCTTTTGTCAAAACATTTGAACGCAAGCGTAATGTGTGTTGGAGAAAGAGGTCCTCAAGATTTTCATTCTTTTAGTGTGGTTAGGTAAAATACTAAGGTCATAGCATCTTTGAAAGGAGTAGTAAAACTCTCCTATCTCCGTCTCATACACCGGTTGTGTCTTTTAAACACATCGTGTGATACATCGATTGTTTTTTTCACACATTACGTCAAGTTTTTCTCCTTTGTGTGTGTGTGTGAGAGAGAGAGAGAGAGAGAGAGAGAGAGAGAGAGAGAATTATATTGCAAGCAAAAAATCTAGCAATGCCTTGGTTAATTTTGCTCAAATGGTTTGTGTGGACAGTACAAATGCTTACACCTAAAAATGACAAAAAGGGCATTCATTTTAAAGCCAATGTACTTGAAACAGGAGAGACAATACAGCAACAAAATTAATTAAAGAGAAAAAGGAGGGGTGGATATTGGATAGAAAGCAAGTGGGAACAAAAGCTAATAATAATAATAAATGAAGTCACTCACCTCAAGCCTGAAAGCACGCTCCCCTTGCCTTCCTTCTCTATGCAGCATCTTAATTGCAGCCACAGTCCCATCTCTGAGGATCCCCCTATACACAACCCCAAACACACCCTGCCCTATCACGTTTGCTTCACTAAATTTCTCAGTGGCCACCTCAAGTTCCTTGTATGAAAACACTTGGACTGCTCCTCCTCCTCCTCTTCTGTATCTGCTTGGTGCTGTGAGTATTTCTGCTGTTGTCTTAAGCACTGACCTTCCAGAATCCCCTCCTTGGAGGTTTAGGCACCCACCCTTCACATCTGCCACATTTTCACATGCCAATATCAGAATTTCTGGAGGAATAGAAAAAACTCATGTTCAGCCAAATTCCATAATGGGCTTGTTAAAAGCCATATTTTTTCTTTTAATTGAAAAAAAATGCATTCTGCCAACATGGTCTAGCCTAGTGGAAGAGGATTTTGACTTGTAGATTAGTAGTCTCGAACCTCCATGGCACCTTGGTAGTGTGTGTGAGAAACTTTCCCTCCTCCTTTTAGTCTAGACTATCACTTGTAATAAATAAATAATCAAAGCATTATGAGCAGAAGAACCATTCATTTTTCTGTGTATTACCTGGGCTGGAATTGAAGGTGGGCATTGAGGTTTGAGCAATGAACCTGCTTCTTGTGTTGCTGCTGATGATGCTATTCTCTCTGTAAGTTTTGCCATTGTAACTTTTGGTGGACTTGAGCCGTCGAAGGATTAAAATGATCAAGAATATAACAAGGAGCATAACTGAGATGATGGACATGATAATGAGAGTATATTTTGAAGGAAAATTTCCATGGTTATGGTGATGGTGGTGGTGGTTATAGGGTTGAGAATTTGAAAGGTGGTATTTATGATGAGTGTGGTGTTTTTCAGCAGTGGTGTTAACTTCCATGAGCACAAAGACCGAAAGAGCAATGCAAAACAGAAGAAATGAGAGAAAGAGAGAGAGAGAGAGAGAGAGAGAGAGAGAGAGAGAGAGAGAGAGAGAGAGGTGTAGAGGTAGAGGTGAGTTTGGCAATGGTGAGGTGTAAATTTGTATAGGGAGTTGAATTTCCCTCTAGCTTGGATTTCATCTCTCCTTCTTTCTCTAAACTTCGTCTTTTCTTCACATGATTCTTCACATGAGTCGTCTCTTCTTTTGTATTTTCTAGAGAATTGTTCTGTCTTTTTATATCAGAAAGTCTTGGAAGCTTTTGCACGATATCACATCCATTCTCCGTTCAAATAATTATTTCCCAATTATAAACAAAGATTTGCGTTACAGACAATTGCTCATACGTGATGATTGTAAGTCGTTGATGCATTGTAAGACTCACTATCATCCATGGTCCACAGATCATCAACGGTCCACCGGCGCTTGGGTGCGTAGTAGCATTTTTCATAAGCAATCTACAGATTTCGAAACTTTCTGATTATCTCTATCCTCAAATGACTTGAAGACATTGTGTGGATAATGATTTTATTCACCAGTTGAAGTGGACGTGGCAAATGTGCCAACTGTAATTGCCACCAGCATAATAAACAATAAAACAGCAGCTTCAAACCAAAGAATGAGGAGAAAGATAGTAATGCCTAAATATTTGCATGCCAATCCACCGTCCCAGTGTCACTCATTGTCCCAGTCAATAAAAATAGCAATTAGTAATAAGTAACATAATCCTTCATTAATCATATCATAAAAAAAGAAATTAATAACATATAGTGAACCTTCTCTTTTTCGTATTAGGGGAAGGGGATGATGAAACTTAGAATCCTCAGATGAATGGAGAGATACTTTTAACCACTTGAGCAACAAGTCCCTCGCATGGAAGCTTTTTTTTTTTTTTTTTTCCGTACATGGAACCTTTTCTACCCTTCTTACAATTGAGAGTGACATTGAATTAGGCCTGACCACCTAAACAGTAGAGCATCACTATCTCCATGGGTTGGAACTTGTCCCTGGTGTGAGAGGGAGAAATCAGCTGCTACATGACTTGGGTATGTAATAAAGTTTGGTAGGGCCAACCCCAAACTGAACATGATGCATCCCAACTCATTTATGTTAAATACTCTTCCAATTACCCAAAGGAAATCATGTCTTCCTAATCTGGTATCAGTGGGATTTGAGATCCTAGACAAACTAATTCATTTGCTTCAACCCTCTGCAACCAGGCCAATCTTTCCCGTAAACCAACCTCTACGACTACGAGTCCCGGCACCACCGGATTCGCTCCTAAGCAGCTGCCAATTATAAGAAGGAATTGGAATAATTCCAACACTCATTTCTGATAAGTGAACATGCCCTTAATAGATATGCATATGCATATGCTTGTCCCCTAGGTTAAATCATGCATCCATATTACATGAAAAAGAGTAAAGCATAGATACATTCGATTCAAGTAATAATTCTTTACACTTCCATCAATCATCTGTAAAACCAAGAAACCTATAGCTGTCTTATTAACCCTATAGCATTCACAAGAGACAAGTTAAATAAAAATAAAAAATTAGAATACACACAAGTGAGAACTAGGAATTAGGAAAATAAGGAAAAAATAATTGCTAAGTACAAGATATGCAAATATACATGAAGACAACAAGACAAAGAATGAGCAGAAAAATCAATGATAAACTAAAACTCAGACCAGTCAAACACCAACAAAAAATATCACTGCAGAAACTAATTAGACGAATTAACTTCAGAGATAATTAAATTGCAATCTATTTTATGGACTGGTTATCTATTGTAGTCCACAGTTTTCTTTTGTTCTGAAATTATCCCATTGACCATTGTCCAACTAGACATTTACTTTTCCTGACCATTTGTTTTTATGTTTTGAGTTGCCATTTAAATTTCAAAAAGATGGAGCTTCTGTGCTATTACTAGCCTGCACAAACATATACACAATATCAAACACATGTAAAGAAATACAACTGAACAGTAATGAATCCACTTAATACCCTTAATACAGGCAAAGAATATAAACAAACACACAAATTATATATATATATATATATATATATATATATAGGCACAACCAGATTCAAGGGGCACGGTACCATTGTCAAGGCACAAACAAAGCAAAGTATATCTATGGGCACAGCACCATAGTATATCATATAGGAATGGAACAACTGCATACACAAAAAAGAAAGAAGATATACACATCCACAGTACTGGAACAAGAAATAGTGCATCAAAAAATAGAGGAAAAATATAGGCACAAACAAGTTTTAAGTTTTAACAGAGGGACAAAGACTGAGCTCATTAGAGCATAATCTTGGAGGAAAGGAAAACATTAACCCTATAAAATAAATAAAATAAAAAAGCGATATTGTGGTGACTCAATTTGCCTTCTGCAGAGGTCGAAAATGTGCAGGCAAGCGATTCAGATTTTCCTCCTGCACAGGTATATTTGCCATCAGCAATGGTATATTGGCCTCTGCACATGTATATTTACACAGGCAAAAAAATTCTAATTTGCCTCTTGCCACACAAGTTACTCATTTGGACCTACAAAAAAGGGATAATGTGTTGGAATCAATCTACCTCCTACACAGGTGGAAAGCTGGAGTAAGGTTTAAACTGATGAACCCACTATCGACTACATAGGGGGCAGACTATCAGTGACCTCCAATTCACAGGCACCACACTTATCAAGCAGTTCAACTTTAAGCGCACTTCAAGTTAGGCAAATGAATCTTCCAGAACATCAAAACAAAATCAAATTTGTAATGTATTCAGCCCTAAGAAAATCACACAATCAACCACAATTGCATTGCCAAATATTACGGATCAAAATAAGAAGTTGCACCAAAAAACTAAACAAAAGCATGTTAAGTGTTATTAAACCTTTGGGCTGATCTGTGGTGGCGGAGGTGGGTATCGTCTACCGTGGCAGGTGATGGTTGGAGAGGAAAGAGACTGAGAGAGGGAGAGGTCCGAACAGAAATCTCAGAAATTTGAGTTGTTGTATTGGGGAAGAGCTTGGGAAGGTCAGTTGGCTTGGAGGGTGCGATCAAAATTCGGTTCTTGATGGTGGGAACTGTATGAGGAGTGAAAGGTATGAAGAAAGTTCGGCTCTTAACGGTGAGAATGGTATGAAGAGTGAAATAGTGAGTCAGTAATTCTGGAGAAGGAGAACCAGAGAATAATGAGAATGGTGCGAGAAAGAATACAGTAATATTTTAAAATAGAAACTTGTGTCTGTGTAGGAAGATTTATGTGATCATCAGGAAAAAAGTCCTAATTACAATAGGAGGACTATCCAAAGAGGAAAGTAAATACAACCTTGATTAAAAATGGGATTTAAAATTTCCTGATCGGATCGGGAAAAGACCCCTATATAAACTCCACAGCTCAATATTAATCCCACAACATGCAACCTTTTCTTTTGAGATTCTTGAAACTTCAATCTCTGTTTCTTAGTTTTCGTTGCTAAATTAAGCCTTGTGCGTTGCCTTTTCTGCAATCTCTCACCCCTGGATAAAACACGATCATCCCTTCATTCTCCTACTAACGGAAGTCTCATCACTATTCTTAGTATTGATGGAGGTGGAATAAGAGGGATTAAACCTTTTCTTTTAAGCATGTAAAGCTCGCAAATTATTTTTTTCATGTAGTTGCAGGGACAAGCACATATGGCCTTGTGGCGACCATGCTTACCACCCCAAATGAAAATAATCGTCCCTTGTATACTACTAAAGATATCATCCCTTTTTATATCGAACACTGCCCTAAAATCTTCCTCCAATCTAGGTGTAGTTAATTGTTGACAGAGAGATCACATTGTTCTACTACGTACCTTTCATATGCATACGATATTCCTTGTACAATAGCTCTCTCATTGTCAATATCCCACATTATTTCAAACTTTTAAGAGGACCCAAATATGGTGGGAAGTATTTACATAAATTGTTAAAGAAAAAACTAGGAGATAAGCATTTGCACGACACATTGAGTAACATTGTAATCCCAACTTTTGATATAAAGCGGCAACATGCAGTTATTTTATCCAGCTATCAAGTTTGTTTATTAATTGTCCCTTAATTCAAACACATGGATGTATATAATTTAATTCTTTGTTTTGTGCTTTTTGTAAATAAATAAATAATTCTTGATTTTGTATATATATGTTGGTCATGATTTTAGTTGAAAAAGAACCCCAGCCTAGCTGTTTTGCTCTTAGATATATGCATTGGAACTTCAACAACCCCGTACTACTTTCCAGCCTATCAATTTAATTTCACATCTTCAACTAGTGAATCAAGAGAATTCAATCTCTCTGATGGCACCATCAGTAGAAGTTATGGAATTAAATTGATAGGCTGAAAGGTAGTGGCTGCTGAAGTTCCAATGCATATATCCGAGAGCAAAGCATCTAGGTTGGGGTATTTTTTCAACTAAAATCATGATCAACATATATACACAAAATCAAGAATTAGTTATTTATTCACAAAAAGAGCAAACAAAGTATTAAATTATATACATATGTGTTCGAATTAAGACACAATTAATAAACAAACCTGATAGTTGGGGAAAATAACTGCAGGTTGCCGCTTTATATCAAAAGATGGGATTACAACGTTAGTCAATGTGTCATGCAAATGTTTGTCTCCTAATTTTTCCTTCAACAATTTATGTAAATACTTCCCATCATATTTGGGTCCTCCTAAAAGTTTGAAATAATGTGCAATATTGACAATGAGAGAGCTATTGTACAAGTAATATCGTATGCATATGAAAGGTACATAGTAGAACAATGTGATCTCTCTGTCAACAATTAACTACACCTAGATCGGGGGAAGATTTTAGGGCAGTGTTTGAGATAAAAAGGGATGATATCTTTAGTAGTATACAAGGGACGATTATTTTCATTTGGGGTAGTAAGCATGGTCGCCACAAGGCCACATGTGCTCGTCCCTGCAACTACATGAAAATAATCTGCGAGCCTTACATGCTTAAAACAAAAGGTTTAATCCCTCTTATTCCACCTCCATCAATACTAAGAATGGTGATGAGACTTCCGTTAGTAGGAGAATGAAGGGATGATCGTGTTTTATCCAGGGGTGAGAGATTGAAGACAAGACAATGCACAAGGCTTAATGTAGCAACGAAAACTGAGAGAGAGATGAATTTGAGGTTTCAAGAATCTAAAGAGGAAAGGTTTGCAAATTATGGAATTAACCTTGAGTTGTGGAGTCTATACAGAAGTTTTTCCCTTCTCCGATCAGGTAATTTTAGTTTCCATTTTTATTCAAGGCTGTATTTACTTTCCTTTTTAGATAGTCCGATTGTAATTAATACTTCTTTCCTATATTGTAATTTGTTAGGATTCCTGGTTTATGGTCGCAGCGATCACATAAATCTTCCTACACAGACACAAGTTTCTGTTTTCTAAATAGGATTGCATTCTTTCTTGCAGCATTCTCATCCTCAATCTTGGACTTTGAAATTTCATTCCCGGTCTCATTATTATCTGGTTCTCCTCCTCCAGAATTACGACTCACTTCACTCTTCGTACAATTCCCACCATCAAGAACCGAATTTTGATCGCACCCTCCAAGCAAACTGACCTTCCCCAGCTCTTCCTCAGTAGAACAACTCAAATTATCTGATATTTCAGAGTCCTCCACACAACCAATTGGCACAGAACCATCGACAGTCTATTCGGACCCACAACCAATTGGGTCTTACACATTAAGAACTTGCCTTTGGCCTTCACCGCCATTTGCCTCTCCAATAGACTCTTCTTCAACCATCTCAACCTTGACCTCCCCTGTTTCTGCCATATCAGGGTTTGGTATATCTTTAAACCAGACTCAAAATCCAAGAACGAATCTGCAAACGTCAAGTCTCTGGGATCGACAAGGGCAGGTGGGTCCTTCGAATTCTTGGTCTTTGAAGCTTGATCGAGGTCTTCGAGGTCTAGTTCAGGGATGAGGCCTGCCATTTGAGAACGCAGACAGGAAGAATTTGTGTTGAAGAATGAGATAAATGAAATTCTATGGGTGCTAATAGCAAGCCAATATATATAGTTAGGATTTTGCTTTGATGTTAGAATTTGAAACCTTGTTGGTTTTTGTTGTTTTTTTGGCTGGAAGAGAGGGAAGAGAGAATGGGAAAGGGAGAGACTGAAACTTTGACATAACTTCCAAAAATCAATGCTATGAGAAAGATAAAGACATGATTATACAACCAATTACATGTAAGATTCTCTCAATAACTTAGCATATATGAAGGTTTTTATAGCCAAAGGTGTGACCACAGGGTCCCCAAATTTTTGTTTTCCTAATACATTGATACATTGAGCATTCTCCACTGCAATTCAGAAACGTTTCATTTTCTTAAAACAAAAAAAGAAATAAGACCCCTTGCAAGCATGGATAGGTGACAGGGCCGTAGATTACATGGCACGGATGGTCCAAATTAACATGCATTGCACATGATTTAAACTAATACCAACAGCAAATATAATAATTTATTCCAGTTATTTTTCAGAATAAGAGGGTCCAAACTAAACCCAAGGTTACCATCTGCCAACAGAAAATCTAAAACCAACTATGAATTTCCGGTCAATTAGCACAGAAAAATACAGTGGATAGTTCATGTATGATTTACAAAGAACTTACTAATCTCCATTGAAAGTTGTGACAATATTTCACAAAACCTTGAAATATTATTCAGAGTCTGAATCATGTCTCCTCTTCTCCTTGTGTTTCTTGTGTTTCCTTCTCTCATCTGAGGAATGCTGTTTTCCATGCTTTTCGCGCTTTTCACGCCTCTCATGCTTCTCCTGCTTTCTCTCTTCACGCCTCCTTTTCTTTCGACTGCTTTCATCATCTAATTCCTCTTTATTTTTTTCTTTTGGTGGTGAATCAGGCACAGTCATGTTTCCCATTTCAGGTGGAGCGTCCTTGACTGTAGATGGAAGGGAACTTGACTCATCCCAAGGGCAAGGTGCTCTGCAGTGAGATCAAGACAAAATTTTGAATTATTGGGCAAAACAGATCAAGAAGAATTAAGCTACACAAAGAAAAAGACAATGGAAGGCAAAACATAAAGTACTAAACACATACCAACCAAAAACAAAAAGAAGACTACACTGCAGGCTGGTGATATGAACGTAAATTTACTACCAATAAACTTAAATTGTAAATCGTTATATATAAAACATGTTTTTATTATCATATATCAATACTACCTTCCCATGGTAAGGCTTGTCCTCAAAAATTAGTTTTAGGGCTGAGCTTATGACATCAGCTATCACCGTGTTTATGACCCAGATAACAAGAAGTCTTAAATAATGCAATCTACAAAGTTGAATCCCAAAAGTCTTAAATAAGATGTGTTTTGTTGGTTCCATCTCCTGTTGTGTTTTGCCCACGTTAATATACTCATCCCAACTGCAGAGTAAGCCGCATGACAGTCTTTGAAGACAACCATCCCTTTCTCATGATCTCATGTTGGCCCCTTGGACTTGGAGTCCCTTTCCTAATATTTTCTACATCATAAGCTGATTTCATGGCCATTGTTTTTTTGTACATATGCAACGTGAACGTTTATTAAACATAAAACAGTACAACAAAAGTGAACATGAAGTCCACTTCTAAAAGAAAACTAGACATGCAAACTGCACCAACACCTCAGTCCTAGGGGAGGGAGAACACCAAAACAAGAACAGAATTCCAGAGAGCTACAAAACAGATGCTTTCCAATCTGACAAAAAGACAGAAAAAGATAACCTCCCTGAACTCTGAAACTACAGATGCCCACAAAGACCCCAAAAATGGACTCTATCCCATAAGAATCAACCTCCTCACTCAACATATTCACAAAAACCGTTCTGTTCCTTTCAACCCAAAGAACCTAGAAAATAACCATCATAGCACATCTTCCCAGAACTACACCCCTTTTCTTTCCACCAAAAAATCTAAATTTCTCACATAATAGCACATTAGACAACACGGGGATGGACCAGCATAAACCTTTCTCCTTGATTAACTGAAACCACAAAGAAGAAGCCGCTGGACAGGGCAGCAACAAGTGATCCATACTTTCCAAGGAATTTCTGCACATAACACACAAGTGGGGAGACAGGGAAACGGAGGGTTGCCTTCTTTGAACCATATCACAAGTTTTGATCTTCCTATGAGAAATTAACCAAGCTACCAGTCGTACCTTGGGAGGAACTTTGGCTTTCCAAATAACAAAGGAGGGAGCAAAAATAGAGAAAGCAGGGTTATCCAAAAGATGCTTTGAGAATGATTTACAAGTGAAAATGCTCGAAGACTCCAATATCCAAACTCTTCTATTTTCTTTATGAGGAACAATCAAGTGAAAATTGACAGCAACGACAACAACTCTCTGACTTCTGGTTCATTCAAATGTCTTCTAAACCCAAAATCCCAGCTTAAAGGCAAAGAAGACGAATTTACACACATTCTTGCAACAGACCGATTAAGAGACTGGGATAATCCATGAGATGAAGATGTAGCGACAAATCTCTTCCCAAAACCTCCCTCTTTCCCCATTTCCCACCCCGAATGAAAACAAGGTGTAAAAGAAGCAAGGAATCCCTTTAGAATTATCTGTCCATGGGCATCAACTTGAATCTCTAGCCTCAATTTTGGGATCCCAGCCACTCTCAGATAAGCTATACTTACTTTTTTATTACAGGCATATCAAAGGGTAGTTGTCTTTGTCTGGAATACCCACAGCCACTTCCCAAGCAAATATTCATGTCGCTTTACTACATTACCCACCCATAAACCTCTTTGGTTTGAGACACAATTTCTCATCTCACCAAATGGTTCTTCCCTTCCACTACAAGGAATTTTAAAAAGAGGCCGATAGTAACTTAAGAAACTGCTCAACACCGATTGGATTAAAATCATCCTTTTCCCTCTTGACAAACAAGGCCTTACTCCGGCCCTCTAACCTTCTTTCCACTTTTTCCACTACCGGGCACCAAAAATTGGCTTGCTCTTGGATTCACTCCAAGAGGCAACCCCAAATACTTTAGAGGCTAGCTTCCCACCTCACAGCCCAAGACCTTTGCCAACTCCTAATACCTGCAATTGAGCACTGGGCTCTATTGATTTTTAACCCGGACATGGCATAAAAACTTCAATCACCATGTTATGTGTGGTCATCGCAATGGTATTTTATTTGTTCAGGTGAAATTATTTTTTAATCAACTATTTTTTCAGGTGAATGGATATTAGAGAGCTCGTAGATTGTGGTGTGGTTAGTGTTGGGCATGGCGTTTTGGTAGTGGTGGGCATTTAACCCGCCAAACTACCAACCCAACCCGCTTGGTCTGGGTTGTAGGTGCTATTTTGAAGCTCTCCAAATTGCTGATCCAGTGGACATCTTGTCCAAATTGTTCAATTTTCTTTAACACTCAGAAAACGATTGTTATGAAAACCATGCAACGTATTCTCTCTCTCTCTCTCTTTTTTTTTTTTTTGGTATAGTAAACAGAAAAATTGCATTAATAGAAATGGAGAGTACAATCAAAGTGGATCATCATTCAGCAAGAAATACACCTCCCAACCTATACTAGACAAAACATCAAAACCAGCAACAACAATATGACTAGATTTAGATAGAGCTAGTACTACATACAAAATAAAGGAAGAAGCCAAGGCACCACTTAATTAATTATTTTCACTTTCAGTTCAGTTACATACCTTGAAAAACCAAGACCATGTACACGTGCTGCTTCAGCGTGCCCTTCACCTAAATCCTCTGCAGTAGAGCCTCGCTTCACAAGTTCTGAAAACTCATGCTTATCAAGCCGATTACCTTGACCTCGGCTTGCACGCTTAGGAGCTAAGCCAAGAGCCTCCCTCATAGCCTGCTCCTCCTCGTCCTTAATTCTTTTAATCTCCTCTTTTGCAGCCTCCATTTCTGCATTCTGAGTTTTTTTGTCTTTCGTATACCAGTGTAGATCTTTACCTGTTGAACCAATATAACAAACAGTTGTAAACATCTTTACCAATAACTGAACACTTGTAAAATCTTTGCACACAAGACTTACAAGTGGATGAAAAGAAAAAAAACAAGGAAAAAGGAAAAAGGCAAAAAATCCTGTAAACAAACAAAAACAAACAACACTACATAAAAATCAGTATGTACACTAACTTTGCTAGTAGCTGTCTAACCAGATAACCACTTTAATTTCTAGAGATTAGACCCTAACGCAAACATTGGTGAGAATCCAATGCCCCGAAAACCTAAGTGTAAAAAAAATTAAAAGCAGACATTTAAAAGACTCCACGACTTCTTTATTTTGGACAAAGAGGCTTCTCATACATTTCACCCATGGCAGTGGATTATCCTTACAAAATAAGGAAATGCATCAATCCCTTTTATAAATGATATATTCAAGCATCATTTGTAGAGTTAAGTACCAGCAGAATAGAAACTTAAGATACTGTGCAAGAACAAAATTCCCAAAAGCACTACAGTCGAACCAAATCCAATCATGTCATACAACAGAAAATTTTAGCAGACAAGAAGGGACTCATAACTACCGTCTACACCCAAAATTATGTCAGCAATGCTCTTTGCAACGCTTAGGGAAACTGAATTTTGTCTTTCATCAATAGGTTCCAAAGAAATGTTAACAAATTTGAATGTGTGCCGACTTGATATGTATTGGCCCAATTTCCAGTAGTATGAATAATTAGTGATCCAAAAATATGGAAAGGTCAATGCTTGTGACATGGTTCAAAGAATGAGACCAAATTATTGCCAATGATACAAGAATTGCAAGGGCATTACAGAGTTCATTGCCGTTGTTCCTACCTCTCAAGAAAAAGGTAGGAACAGGGACAATTGGCAACAACAGAAACGAAGACAGCGGCAAAACAAAGTAAAGAACAAAAAATATCAGAGTAACGTTGGGTTGGAAAGGGCATCTTAGTCTTTTCAATTTAACAATTAGCTAGGTTTATAATTTTTTTTAAAGTGGCCATCTTCATTAAAAGTGTGATGGTTGGGCTATTTGTTAAAACTAAAAAATAATTATAAATAAAAAATAAAAAACACCCAAACTACTTGCAACTTCAAACCAAATTGAAAATTTCATGTGAAATGGTCAAAATGAATGAATTATAGCAATGTGAACAAACAAGACGTCTCACCTTTTTGCCATCTTCCAACAGGTGCCTTGATACTGTGACCAAGATAATTTTCTCGATGTTTATCAACCTTCACATCATCCCAACTAAATTCTGTACATCAAGGGAGAAGCAGAAAGTTCATTAGACATAAAAAGATTATTAAGCCTCCAAGCATAAGGATGCACCTAAATGTACGAGCACTATGTTCATTGATCATGTCAATGTGGTTTACACATAAATATGTGATGGAGATCATATAGAGGCATCTACTGGGGGTTTGTTTATGTTATTAAGAATTACATACATTTTTTTCCATTTTAGGATCTTCCTACTATTTAGAGTACACATAATTTTCAATTGTGATCTCTTTAACTAGTTGGGTTTATGTCCCTACTATTATCAGGGTTTCACTCTAGGTTTCATTGGCTTGTTGTGCTTCAACTTCCTATTATACAAGAGGCCTTACTCCAAGCTAATTGAGTAGAGTTGAATATTGAATATTGAATGTTGAACATTAAAATCCCATTGCCCCCATGTTTTGTTTTTCTACTCTACCTTCCTTTCTTACTTCCCCTGTCTTTCTGATCCCTAAACTCCCTTTCCATCCCACATCAGATGTTCAAGTTTTTCTATGCAGCTCTCTAGAATAGACGAACAACTTTCTCACCAAGTCACTAAATTCATGATTTCTACTAAAGAACAAATGGTTAGCTAAGAATAGGATTTTAGAAGCAATTATTTTTAAGCATTAATCAGAGGAAATTATCGGTAAAAGAACTAAAAAGTTAACTATACACTTCTGTGTATCTCATCGGTGGGAATTTTTTTTAAAGTAAATAAAATTCCCTCCCTGCCTACATGAATCTCAACAAAAACCTAATCTTTGAGTTGCAATTCTACCATAATGTTCACTATTTTCCCTGAAGCAAATGAAAGATAAGAATCTCTCTAGAGAGAGCGCTTACGATCTCGACCACCACGAACACCGCCTCTAGTGGGATGATACATATTTGATATGTCTACAGACAATCCTTAAGTGACTGTGTTCAGCAATCAGCGGGAGCCTCCTTTCTCTAGTTGTTTGGTGATGGATCTTTCGGAAGACGCTATTCTGTCAATAGCAATCAACACAACATCAGCATGTCCCAATATGAGGAACAGACGAAAAGAAAATGAAACAGCAAATCCAGTCCAAATCATGAGGCTATCCACGAAACAACAGCAGATGGGATAGAAAATTCCAAGGAAAAACAAAAAATAAAGCATCCCAATTGAATTGCAACAATCCAAACAGAAAATTAGGTTAAATCAAGAAGCAAAAGTAAGACAGCAAAACCCAATTGAGTAGAAACAAAATCAAACCCATCAAGAAAGTTAATCGACAAAAATCACAACCACTATTTCAAAAAGGACGCCACAAACAAACCTAAGGGCATAGCCATATCAAAGCTCACCACGGCAGAAAAATAATGTCATATAACCAACATTGACGCGCCAAATAGGATACTCAATTCAGAGAAACACGCCCAAAAATTGGATCCCAAGAACAAAACCTTCAATTTCTGTGCAAAATCGCAGGGATTGAGAAATCCTTCTAGCAATCAACAGGAACCCAAAAAAATTGCGAAAAAAAATCCTTACCTTGGCAACAAACCGCGCGATGCTTGGGCAACCCAGCAACCAAGCTCAGGTAAAATAATTGAAACTCAAATACACAAGGATAAATTGAAGAAAGTTGAGAGATTATTATTATTATTATTTTTTTTGAGAGAGAGAGAGTGGGAGGTGGTGGCGCGAGATGCAGATGAGAGCCCACAAAGCACTACGTACATTAGCCTAATCTGTCCGTTGCACTTGTTTTGAAGTTGATCCAACGGCTGTGAATTGATGACCTGATGACCGGATATCAATTCTGTGCCAGGGACCAGGGAGCTTCTTAATCAACAGCCGTTGGATTTAATCCAACAATATACAGCAGTCTAAAACAATAAACTCAACTAAATAAAAAATACACTTTTTTTTTTTGGTTGGATTCTCTTTCTTAATTCTTAAATAAATAAAATCAAAAATAAAAAACCAATTGAAAGAGGCTCTTCATCCGATTTTTTTTTTTTTTTCTGGTAAATATTTTTCAGTGCTTCTCCCAAAAGAAAAAATATTATTTTCTCGGTTTCTTTCACACATTTCTTCTACTTCATCCCTTCCAAATCCCAAAGTATCCTATATGCCATTGTTTTCTCTACAAAGAGTTTTCGATTTTTTTTTTTTTCATAATCTCTTATCCATGGTCATAACTCTCTCCCTTCTTTCAAGCTTGGCAACAACTCTTCTATTTCTAATCTCACTAGGTTTTATTTGAGGAAAAAAAAAAAAAAAACAGAAATCTTTGCACACTTCAATAAACCAGAATTACATACAACTCGACGATGGTGCATGATGAAACATATCTTTCTAAAATTCTCTTTGAGTTGGATTCTCCTAAAAGGATTAGAAATGGGCGAAGTTTTGCTTTGTAGAAACAAATAGAGTGAAATCAATCACAAGTGGCACATTTTCTTTCTTGCAACACCGCCAAAAACTTGATGCATGTTTAAACCAACCTAAATATTAGATCAATTTAAATCAAATTAAAACTCACAAGTGCACGAATCAATTTATAATACAGTGTGATGCAAGTACGAGTATCGTTCCCATGAACATTAGTGATCAGTTCTAGTTCTTTAACCTAACTCAATTCAAGACTTTTTTTTTTTTTTTTTTGGATTTTCAATTTATAACTTAACTACTTAACACTAACAGAAAAAGAAAAAAAACGAAACACAACTTAGAACTAAAAAGAGATGAAACGATTTAAAAGCAAACAAACGATTAAACGAAACTAAACGAAACAAGCAATTGAAACTATCAAGTCGGGGAAGGAATAGGAAGTAAAAGGACATCACTTAAGATTTGTAAGGTTATTCGGCTTCCAAATTTTAATGAGCACTAGGGTTTTAGACTAACCACTAATTCGCTTGTCCAAATTCTAAGATGTATTGACGATTCCGTACCTAAGTCCTTCTTAGGGCACTTATGAAGGAAATCTTGTTCGTTAGAAATCAAAGCCACAGTGTTTAAGCTTTGATTTGTGATAGTTTAATCTTTGTGGGCAGACTCTTATCGAACTACAAGCACAAGGGTAAATGGGAAATATTTTCTAAAGGATACTGTAACTTTGCAGGACTCTATCATCTATCCAAGTCAGTATTTGTAATTCATTATATTGATGTATTGATTTGATTATATATAGAGAATATATTTTGTACTGTTTTTATTCTGTTATTTGGTTATATTCTGATTGTTCTCCAACATAGCTTTGAGGTTGGAAGTGTGTATGGCCGATTAGGCCCGATTTGGATTGGCCATTTTTCGGTTTGAAATGTCCAGCTCTACTGGGAATTACGCTAATCTATTGAGATATGGTATACTACAAATGAATATTTGCAACAAGAAATTAATCCTACTTTTAAGATGACTGACCCTTTTCATCCAGTCCATATGATGTCCTTTTCAGGAGCCATAGGAAATGCATCCATCAGTAGGTATGAGAGGATTAATGTCAAGGACAGGTGATTGATTTACCTATTCGAAGCAAGACTGTCTCTAATCTGAATATTTGGTTTTTAAATTTCCCTTCTAGTGTTTGTCTCAAAGCCCTGTATGATACACGGAATATTGATCTTTGTATCTTTTTATTTTGTCATTGAAAATAAAAAAGCTGATGTTGTATGATTCGATTAAAGTGAGAATGGGAAATAAGTCGCTCAAAAAATAGATTGAACATGGGAGTTTGGTGTAAATTATGAAAACAAAACAACAAAATGAATGCTAACTGTAAAGCAACAAACTTGTTTAATGAATTAAGATTCTTTCAAATGTTTGCTCGAGTTGATGTCTGAATAAAATATGGATGTAGCAGCAATTAAAATAGCTGAAAATAAGGCTGCAACAAAAGTGAAAATGGATACAATTCCAGCATGCACCTTCATCCCAGAAGGTATTTTCCAGACAACTGTACCATATGTTAATTTAGAACCAGTAATCTCTGACACCTTATATAAACAGCTTTCATCATGTGACTTTCCCTCAACACTGCAACGCATGAACAAATCAGGTACACCAAACTTGACTTCCCAATAGCCGTTTTCACTAAGAGGCTGCACCCAGAAAAGCAAAGGTAAAATGATACAAAATAAAGAATATAGCAGCTGGTTCTCTCTACGCAAAAGAATGATATTCCCGATAATAAAAAACAAAAACAGTGTCCAACGCACACACAAAGGCTCTTCTCAGATTTCAATCATGAGAAAATGCCAGCCGGTCTCTGTATATACCAGTGGACGTAGTCCTCGTCAAGTATGCATGAATAATAATCTATTTGTTCACATATCCCTATTTCAAACCATATATGCAATGCTGAATGAATATAGAACTAGCATAGATGAAAAAATCTTCCGAACTATAAATAACTAAAGGGAAACCAGACAGAGTTACAGTTCCACACATAACCTTTTCACTTACTGGATATCGTGCATGTAATGGAATCTCTACGTTGATGTTAAACTCTTCAGCATGTCTCAGAAAGAGATTATGACCAATATCCATGTGAACTTCGACAGCAGAACGATTGGAAAGAAATGAAGGAGACTCTAAATTGGTATCTCCAAATACAGCAATATTGCTATATACTGCATTACACGGAAAAATTCAATTACAAGAAACGAAATCAGTGCAATATCTCTGGATAGCAGGTTATGGGTAATATTTTGTTTTCATTTGAGGGGGAAGAAGGGGAAGAAGAAGAGGAGAAACAAGAAGGATAGATACCACCACGCTGAAGGAGATGTTGAAGCTCAAATGGATCTGCAAATACCCCAGATGGCAGTCTCTCAATGATTATGACCTCACAATGATGAGTTGGTAACTCAGATATGGACTCTGGTTTGATATTAACTCTGATGGATGAAGTGAGATGACGATGAGAACCATGGCCTATCAGATTCCGATGCAAAATTGAGAGTTTTAGCACAAGACTCAGATCATGGGGAAGCACCTCACACATACCAAAAGGAAGTTCTTGTCCTATAAAAACTTGGAAATCTGAATCTAACAAGTTTTCATATTTTGCATAATAAGATTGCATAATATACTTCTTGAAACTACAAAAGGCACTGATCTTTGAGTCACTATCATCATAGTTTGCATCACAGCTTCCCACCTGAAAAATTAAAAGAAGGAATCTTACAGAAGGAAGATCAAGTCAACAATATATGATAGTGTAAACTTTCTGTCAATTATGAAAACAAGTGCTTACTTATCAAAAGAAAAAAACATAAACTAACAAAATTAAAAAAGTAAATTAAATGAGGGAGAAAAAAAAGAATTAGTCTCTCTTTAGGTATTTATAATAGGTATTTCCAGCCAAAGAGGAAAATATGTATTCATCTAGAGAAAAATACTTATAAGGTGAAGAATTTTGTATCATAAACTTAATGAACTTGTTAGACCCAAGTACAATCTCTACTAGTTAGCCTTAAGTGCAGTTTTCATGTTGTCGAACTTTCATTGCTTTTACTTCAACCAATTTCCATTATTCATGACATCCCAGAATTCCATAATATAAATTAGAGTGTTGTTGACATCAAAATTCATGACCTTATTTTATAATTTGTAAAGAGAGTAATTTTCTTTGTTCGACAATTTGGCTTGTTATGTTAGATTGTGAATCGGGGCTGTTGAGTAGGTGGAAACATGTGTGAACGTGCAGTCTTGATTCACAGTCAAACAACATAACATGCCAGATATCCAGCAAAAAAGATTGTTATTATTATTTAGGATAATCATTGATGATGCAACTGGAAAACAGCTTAAAATGCTTCAGAGTTTCAGTTTTAGTAGCATACCTAAGTTCCCAATGATGAGTTCTATGCTAATTTGCTGAAATCAATTAGTTGTTCTGGTTATAACAGGAAGGTAATTATTCAAACGGGGTTCAGGTTGCATTCAGTACTTGGGATCAAGCAGGCTCCACACACCAAACTATCGTTCATGTACTTTGATTGTGGAAGCCAAACAAGAAACTAGTGAGCTGAGTGCACATGCCCTTAACTGATAATCCTAATTGCTCATGCAGAAATGCTATCATTTCAAAGATTTCCAGATCGCAATCAAACACAATCCGCCTTATGCTGATACAAAGGCTCTAACAAACTCTTAAATAGTGGAGCCTTTGAGAGAAGAGAGCTTCCAAATTGATGGCATTGGGCATATGGCAAGTCAGCCACTCTATGCAGAGAAAGAAGCATTCATTGCAAATAACAGATTGGAGCAGAAGATGATACGGATTAAAGTTGATGAATTTGCTTTCATGTAACTATGATGATCAGTGTAAAACAAACTCTAGAAATTGGATTCAAGCTAGGGATTAAACGTCTACTTTCTTGTCTGAAATATGAACATACCACCAAAACAAGATGTGGAAGTTCTTTCATTAGTTCATCCTTTGTTTTATATATATCTTTTTGGAGTAGTGGATTTAAGTTCATAATGGCTCCGAATCTTAGAGCAGCTGGAAAAGAGGCAATGTGAAGTGATTTTATCAGGCTTCCAAATTCTATAACTATGGACCATATCCAGATTATAATTGAGTGACAACCTGTTTTAGGGACAAGAGAAAAGGGAGAAAGAAAAGAAATAGAAGATCAGCATTTTGGCATGCGGGATTATGCATACCATGAAGATCTGTAGCATGTAGTCTCAATGAAACAAGAAATTAGGACTCAAAGTTTCTGCATGAGGGGTTGCACACACACACACACACCATGAACTATAAGAGGTACTCCCCCAATTATAACTCAAGCTATGAACCATTGTCAATTGCAATGTTTCTGTCCTACCAAATGGTCTTTCAGCACCCCAACCAAAGAAAAAAAACACAGGGACAAAACAAAAGCATGTTTATTCTATGCATAACTCACCCAAGGCCAGAACTTTATGAGATCTGCTAACCACACAGTCAATATCACGTCATTAGACACCAAAGTGGGATTTCTTAAACTATCAAGAAGCTTTCTAAATATGAGTGGCAAAACAGCCCACAAAATGCGTGGCAGATCATGCTTTGTTTGTACATAATAAGAAAATGACCAATTGCAACCCTTGAACAAGAAAATGGAAACAACTGCAATGCAATAACATCATAGGTATATATATATAGGTAAAGCTTGAAGGACAAAAGAAACAAAAAGCACTGACCTCGCTTGAAACTGCAGAAGAATGGATGCAAAAACCAATGCCAGAGAAGAATACCAAGACAAGTCCAACGAACAAGGAATTGGGCAGGCGAAGAGGCCTCTGAGTTTCCATAACAAAAATAGCAAGCAATTCAATGCTCAAAGGTGCAAGCAACGACCTTGAAACAAAATGGTTTTCAGTTTCAAGAAGAAACCTTGCATCTATGAATTCATTAACCTAATTTCAATTTCAAATTTTTGATTGGTAAAGAAAAATGAATCTGTTAAAGCTGTACTTATGCAGCAGATCTTCTAAGTAATCGGTTGAACGACAAAAAAAAAAAAAAGAAAAAAAAAAAGAGGCTTCGGCTGGTTGAAGAAGTAATTAAGGCAAAGTTTTAAGGGCGAAAGTGTAATTTAGGGAGTCAAACGTTGGATAAAGATTAAAATTTTTGGAAGAGAGCCAAAAACTGATAAACCCAAATTCGAAAGTGTATTGAAAGTTAGGAATTTTCCTGGTGTGAGTCTGAGAAAGTGAATTTTCCAAGAAAATAAGAATTGAAGAAGGAAGGAGAGAGATGAGTAGTTCATCACCAGCACATTCTTCAATATCAACAACAGCAATAGCTGGAGAAAGAGGAGAACGAAATGGCAGCAGCAATCCTGCTTTGTCTACAGACGACTTCTTCTTCCCCATTGATCTGATTTCTATTCAAGATCGCAAAGAAGAGGCAATGCTTGGTTTGTTTCTTTAACCATTGCTCTTTTTTTTTGGTGATTATTGTTGTTATTGTATATCTATGTTATTGCATTTTTGCATTATTGGTAATGGATAAAAGTGGGTTTCAGAGAGCTTCTAGTGATAATTGTGTGGGGATGTTTGGAGAGATGCTTTTATTCTCTGATGGGTGGCTTAAACTTTTATCAATTCAATTTTTTTTATGGCAGGTTTTGGAACAATGGCAAATGTTTTATGAACTTACTTTTCTTTACAGTTGGTTTTAGGTGTGAGTCTTAAAATACCTGACTGGGTTAAATTTTCATGTAAAAATCATTTCTTGTTTTGTTCTTGTGAATGGAGAGTAAGAAATCAATCAACTCAAATAGACCAAGCAAGCACCTATTTTAGACAAACGTTAAGATTTGATAAATGAGTACTATAGAATGCCTTTTCTTAAGCTTCTGGCTACCAATGCATGTTCTTTATCTGAAATGAGTGTTTATTTTCTAAATTGCAGTTATAAAATCTGATCTGATGGACGCACTTAACAAGGTGGTTAAATCTCTTGATGAAGATAATTGGATCTTTGAAGGACCACGCCACCATATCAACCCTATATCAAGAAAAGGTTAGTTTAACCCCTACTACCTTTGGTTGAAGATAATTGGATGTTTGGATGTTGAATTTTATCATGCCTTGTGTTTCTGGGTTTGTGTCATTGGTATGAAACTCGAACTATTTTGAAGAACAAAATAAAACAATAATGCTCCTTTTTTCTTTTCTTATTGGATCTGTGGTCTATAATTTTCCGCGCATTTTCTGCCTGCCTGATACGAATGTCATAGTCCAAGATGTTTTACACTACATTTCATTCCTGATGCTTCAAACTGCAGTAGGTTTTTATGGTCGGTTTCTGGTGACATGCTAGCACCACAGTAGTTAAGAAGACTCCTGAAACCGTAGTTAAGACTTAAGAGTACTGTAGATATCTATATCAGGTTCGTAGGGCTGGTAACTCATGGAAGATCATACTTGTCCTAGTTTCTAAAAGGTTCAAAACTAGAGCTTAAATGTAATGACAACTTGGACAAAAATACAGTTAATTTACATATGCATCGATGTTCTTGCCTTAAGCTATGTAGGATTCTATTCCCACTCAGTTTATTGAAGCTGTAGCAAACAGGTAAGTATTACAATGTTGATCAGAATATTACTAGTGGAGATTGCACTTCCATCTACCCTGGTGGAGTTTCTTATATTTGTCACTCTTTATATATTCGGACTGGAGTGGTTTTGTTGGTTTCAGAACCACACAACAATCAACTAACCCACTTGATCACACTCCTAAGTATATAACTGAAACAAACCCATAGGATACTGAGAATCTGAACCAACCTGAGAGACTTCAACACCGTTTTAAAATAACTACGCAGTGTAAGGTCGTCTTTAACTCCTTCTTGAGGGGGTTGTAAGGCGGTGGCTCTAGTTTTTTTGTATTTGTTATTTACGACTCCTTGGAGTCTGTCTTTTCTTTCTTGTATTGTTTTGGCGGATTCCTTATCCTCCTTTTTCTCAATACAATGTCTCTATTAAAATAAAAAAATAAAAATAAAAAGAATCTGAACCAACCTGGTCAGTTGGAGCCAGTTATTTGAACACCCCTAGTATAAGGAGTTAAGAATTTGCATTACCTGCATTGGATGATTATGCATGCAGCTTTTGAGGAAGAAAATTATCCTAGTATCTGGCTCACTGTTTGCATACAGCATGCCTAGTTAATTTTTTTCTATCAAGTATTATGCCCGCATCCACATGCGATATAAATTAATTTGGTAGAAAATGACCTGAATGCATTAGTACCAATTTGTGCTTGTTGATGGAATAAATGTTTTTTTATTAAAGAAAATGTACGACATTGTAACGTTTAAGTATTTTGTACCATTTCTTGGTTCATAATGAGATGTTTTATAGAAATTATCAATTTTCTTTACAAATTACAATGAATCACTACTGTTTTTAATTCCTGGTGTTTCCCATAAACTTAAAAGATGCTTTTAGTATTAGGTTACAGATGCTTTGGATTATATTATTATGTTCTGGTTTTGTTTTTCCTGGTTCTGTTATTAGTCTATGCTGTTTAAGTGGTTTCCTCTTTGGTTTCTACTAGTTTTAGGTGAACTTGTTATGCATGTTTCTTGGATTCCCCAAAATTAGGAATTTCCAAGAACAGTCATTTTCACACACATTTCCTGTTCCTGCACCAAGTTTGTGCTTCTAAGTCCTAAACAGAATGTCACCTAGGGATAGTTGAAAGGTCTTTGTTCATGCTGTTAGAAGTTAGATGAGATACTCAAACTAAATAGAATAAATTGAAGATATACTCTCAAATCTTTCCCATCATAGTTTTCTTCACCCTTCTGAGATACTCAAACTAAATAGAAGTTAGACGAGATGGCATCCATTGTTCTGCAAGAAGAGGAGATATAGAAAATCCATAAGACACGGGGTGCCCATTAGCATTTCTTTTGAAATGTGAGCAGGTAGTGAACCATAACAAACCACTTGGGAGAAAGCATGGTATGCCATAAAAGAATGCTTAGTCATAGAAGCATAAGCAAGGCATAAGTCCACACAGTGGTGAAGCTACTGTGTTATATGTCCCCGTGTAGGAAATTTGGTTGGCTACAATAGCATGTAAATTACAACAGCTTTGACAGAGTTCTTCCTGTGTTTTTATTGATTTGTTTAAATTTTCTTCGTGACGGAAATAAATCCGTTGCTCAGTCTTCTAATGCTTTTGAACTCATGCCATTATCTTCATACTGGTCTCACTTTCACGCGTCAGTATTTGTATTGTGACATTAAATAGTTGATTACTTGCTGTTATTTTCTCTTACTCAGGCGGTTTTCTCCAGAAGCATATGGAAATTTCAAATAATTGGAATTTAGCCCCACCAAAATGATTTTCAGCTAGGATGGATAATGTATTTGTTGTATTTGTATGATGTTATGATGTTATGATGTTATGATGTTATGATGTAGAAGCAGCATGTTGATATGAATTTCTGGATTTGCTGCTTTGGCACAAGATTGACAAGCATTTTGTTCTCTCTGTTTGATTTAACATCCATGAAATATCGTGCATTGCAACTTCTCTCTCCCTCCTCCCAAAATATCACTTGAATGAAAAAAAAATAAAATAAAAAAGAAATGTTGTGGCTGAAGGAAAAACTTCATGCATGTTTGGTGGGGTGGTTTCGGACTCAACCCTTCATAGAAGCCCGTGGAAAGCAGAGAATTTCGACAAAGCATTGGTGTTATATGTAGAAACAGATAGCAGATTTATGATTGTTGCCGTCGTTTTATGTGAACTAGAGTCTCCTTTAGTAGGTCTTGGGTGGGGCGGTACCTCGTGCGACGACTCTTGCAAGAAATGGACCCCTGCATTGATTGTGAGAGTGGTTGCACTGGTGATGTGGTTGGACCGCCCCACCCAAAACCTTTGAGCCTTGGGATAACGGTGAGGTTGTTGGGGGAGTCTGCAATCAGAAGTCGCTCCTCTCTAACTAAATCAAAATAGGCTAGAATGCTTCTATCGATAGAGTATAGAATCGTGATGGAACTTTGTTTCCGGCCAATCAACAATATATGGAGTGGCTGGCTGGGGTCTGTGTGGTAGATTGTAGACCATCGGTGGAGTGATCATGTTCGATTGGTCGTATGTCCCAAGATCAACACATAACATTATATTAAGTTGAGCAAGTGTACTCTGGACTATGACAATGGCAGTTCAATAGTCTTCCATAATCTATTGTATTATTTGTTGGAAAACAAAAAACAAAAAACTTAGACAATCATGCGCAAAGCAAACAAGCCACAATTTTCTTTTACCTTAATTCCGGGTTCTCCCCCATCTTTAAAAGAAAATGTCAGTGGTAAAAGACATAGTTTTAGGTGTTTCTAAAAATTTACCCTTGTTTTTTTCAAAAAAAAAAACTTCAAAAGAAGGTAAAAGAGAAGTAGAAAAAAGAAGATAAAAGAGAATGTAGCTCGCTTTTAAAAATAGGATAAAATTATTTAAAACTTTAGAAAATCTAGTGGAAGAAAAAGAGAAGAGAAGAAAAGAAGAATAAGAAGGACAGGAACTAATAAAGCAAGCAAAGCAATTAAACATAATCAACCAAGTCTTCAGTGGAAGAGCAGCAAGTTTTATTGACAAAAGGGTGGTCAAGGAGCTCATCAACAGTTGCTCTCTTCCTCCAATCCTTCTCCACACATCTCCAAATGAAATTCTGAAACTCCGGGGATGCCGTTTCCGGCATCTCCACCCCCTCTCCAAAGCATATCACACACATTAAAGTTGCCCAATCTGGTTTCTGCTCAGGAGTAATCAGTGGGAAACGACCCATGTGACATTGCAACGCCACCAATCCAAGTGACCACACATCACCGGCAAACCCATCCGCATTATCACCGCCCCACCGCTCTGGATCAAACCTTTCAGGGCTCATGTACGCGTAGGTGCCCATGTAGGAGTCGCACGCCTCACGGGCACCTGCCACAACATGGCTCACCCCGAAATCTGCAATTTTCACTTGGGCTCTACCATTTATGAGCAGGTTTGAGGGCTTGATGTCCCTATGCACTATCTGCATGGCATGCAGATAGCGCAGTCCTTGAAGGACACACTTTGCCACGCTAGAGATTACGTGCTCAGGCAATCTCTTGCGTGCTCGCAACACATCGAGCAGTGAGCCTCCTTCCATATACTCCATCACAAAACACAAATCACCCCCACCATCATTGTGATCACTAGTACTACTCATGAAGCCATTATTGTCAAAAACCCCATGGCATCTAATGACATAGGGCGAGTCCACTAGCTTAAGGATCTCCGCCTCACGCACCGCTTGTTGCAAGATACCGGTGCCATTGTGGTCGAACCGGAGGACTTTCAACGCGTAAATGGTTGAGGTTTTCTTGTGACACACTTTATAAACAGTGCCGCCATTGCCATGTCCAAGAACTTCCAGTTTCTCAAGGTCAGAGAGGTTTTCAACATTGGCTGGAGAGTCAGGAGTAGAAGTAGGAGTAGTAGTCCTCTGCTGCCTGAAATGATCAGCTGCTACCGGAGTAACATCCGGTGGCGGTGGGGAGAGCCTTAATGCTTGTTGGTGCCTTCTCTCTCTCACCAGTGTCATTTACACTGATAATCAATGAGCACACATGCACACTCTCTTCCTTGATCCTCCTTTGTTTTACACTGGATGAGAAATAATTAATCGTGCTAACAAATCTACTCAAATCAGTCAATCTGACGATCGTACGTTTAACTACAATATTTGTTGCTTTCAAACTCATAGCGGGCTGACAAGTGGCCGAGGCTATCCCAAAATTAACGGGCAGCTGAAGTTTATCTCATCTGCACCTGTAAAACCTGGTTAGTTTTGAGGTGAAATTACTTATATTGACACGTATGTTTTTCTTGTTATATTAGCATCTTGGCACACGCTCACGCACGTCCCAATCGGCTTTTTTTGGGTTATCAAAGACTGTTTTTTTAATAATTAATATATATTTTTATAATCTTTTATTCTTTTATATATTGGTGGAGAGGTGGAGGTAACTCCCATATTGTTAGTGAGTTTTGTGTTTGTTATTTTTAATTTCTTTTTAATTTGTGTGTTTAAATGACAAGTATTTTACCACTTTACCCTCATTATATTGAATTGTGAATTTTTGCTCACTACTTTAATCCAAGATATATGTGTACTCTCATCACTTTTCCTAAAAGGTGACACATGTCTATGGATTCAACTATAGTTAACTCTTTATTTTTTTATTTGTTTGATGATATTATTACGAGAGAGAAACAATATTTTAATAAGATTTTTCCCGATTTACCCTTATTCTATTAATTAACCCAACAAACTTGATTAATTTAATTTTAAAAATAAATCAAAACAATGGAAACTGAAAAGGCATAAGTTCTTATTCCAATAAAAACACAGAAGTCCCTTTAATTGAGAATTTATAGTTTCTGGATTATCCACAATTTGGGTGCTCATATTTGAAGACTTAACAGCTCCAAGAGTGCACTGCCCAATAATTCCAGACTTCCTTCCTTTGTTCAAGCACAAATATGTATCATCTATGCCGTTACTTTTTATTTTTTAGTACTTTGTATTGCTTTTTTATTTTTTATACTTAGTGATTGCTTTGCTTTTCTGAGTATCAAAGCCAAATTCGAATTTAACAATTCATGTCCTTCGTTAATATTGGTATGCCAACAGTTTCATGGGAAGTGGAAGACTCCAAATATTAAGTTATTTTATTTTATTTTATATTATATAATTCTTTATGGATGTAGCATTCATTGAATATTCTCTCTTTTTTCTTTTGTGCATCATTGAATGTCAAGTAATATGATACATATGCATGCACAGACTGCTAGTGTCCTCATGGACCATTAAGAGGATGAATTTCATGCTACATATTCCAATGATGGTAAAGAATCTGTTGATTACTTAGATTCTGATTCTGAAAGTCTTGATCCCTTGGATCATACTGAGCAAATTGAAGAGCTTACAAGAAAATTTGGTGATGTTCCAACACTTGGCATGAGTTTTGATAATGAACATGAGGCATATTAATATTACACTTCATATGGTAGAGGTGTTGGATTTAGTGTGAGAAAGCTTAGAGTAAATAAGGGCAAGAATGATGTAATACATAAAAGAGAATTTTGTTGTTCTTGTGAAGGTTTCTATAGAAAAAAGACAACTCCGAAAAAGAAAAGAGAGCAAAGAAGATTTGGATGTGTAGTGAAATTTTTTGTAGCTGAACATAATCATCATCTTCCGTATGGATTTCCAACTGTTTCTAGTGTTCAAGGATTCCAAATCACCTACTTGGATACCAAGCTATACATCCAATGTTGTCCAATTACTCGTTTATGCATCCACAGGTTTGTTATCTTAATTTATTGAATTCACTACACATATAGTTTTTTTTTTTTGGTTTTTTTTGTCTTGTTTTAAGTTTCATTAGTATTATTTTTAATTGTTCGATTAATTTACGGGAAAATAATCAACCAAGACCTCAAGGACTAGCTCATCAACTGAGTTTTTCACATCCATCAACATGTTAGACCAAGTTTTTGCAGTGTAGAAAAAGACAGTAGTAACAACATGAAATTGTTCTTTTTCGTGTGTCCAATTCTAGGACATAATACATGACATAACTTAGCTTTCAAATAATTTTTTTTGGAGTATTTTATTTTAAGAAAACCTTTTGGACCTAATATAAGATTATCATAATTTTAGAGTATTTTTTTCTTTCTTTTTTTGTTCGATCAATTTTTTATTATTTTTGATTAAATGATCAAAGTATTTGATTCAGCATATCATATCTATAGGGAAAAGATTGGCCTTGCTGACTGCGCCCCCACACCCCGCCCCATTTAATAAATAAAAAATATTTGATTTAGTTAGGTTCAGTTCAGATTCGGTCGTTAATCTCTCTGAAGGTGAAACTGTGAGCATGAAATGCAGCCGCAGCCCCCCTCTGGGGGTGGGTGGCTTCCCCATCTTCCATCTTTCTCTCCTTATCTCCCTTTCACCTTTCTGGTTTTCTTCCCCTCTCCACTACTCTCCCCAGATTTGTTTGGATTTTAGGTCCTCTTGCCCAGATCTATCTGGATCTTGTCTTTTGTTTGTTTATTTGTGTGTTTTCTGTTGTAGGTCCTCGTTGACTTTTGTTGTTCTTTGATGTAGTTGGGATGGTTGCGGTGTGGTGTTGTCAACGCAGCTTTTTGCTTTGGTTTTCGTTGTGTTTTTAAAGCAAGTACTACAATCCATCGTAGATGCTTCGATTTTGTAGCAACTTTTGGTCCACTCACATGGATTTTGCTCCAGTTTAGTATTTGGAGTTGGAAAAGTGATTGTTGTCGGTTTGTGTGGGATTGGGTTTTGCCTGTGCAAAATAAGAGGTTTAGCCATGTTGGTGCTACGAGTCTCTTTGGTTTGCTGGAGAGGATGTGGTGCGGTGCCCTTGTTTCTTTGTTTATTTTAGTCTAATAATTCTCAGAAACTCAATAGGAGTTTGTTGGTGTTTGTATTTAGTGTTCGACTTTTTGATGCGGATTTGCCGTTACTTCTGTTGCGCGATGAATCTGTATTGTAGGTCTGAGTACAGGTGCTTTTGTCTGTCGAATTGGAGGTTTCAGGTTTTCTGGCATGCGTAATTCTCTCCAGATCAAACCAATTTATTTTTGTGTTTGGTCATTGGAGATGTTGTACTCATATTTGGCATTGCGGCTACTTTATACTTTTTTTTTGTGTTATCAATAAAATTACCATCACTTTTAATCAAAAAGGTTCAATTCGGATTAAAGCCTCATATTAATCACAGGATTAAAGTCAAATCAGTCAATTATTTGTTGAGTAATGATCGTCATGCTGTTGTTAATTTTTTGAGTTATTTGCTTCATTGGTAATTAATAGAAAAGTGGAAAGTTTGTTGGGTCAATTAACAGAATAAGGGTAAATCAAGAAAAATCTTATTAAAACATTATTTATCTCTCATAATAATGTCATCTAACAAATATAAAATAAAGAATTAACTATAAATAGTTAAACCCTCATATGTGTCGCCTAGGAAGGGTGGTGAGGGTAGACCAAAAATTCTCCCTACAAAGCAGAGAGAGGGCAGATGGCGGTGGGATGGATCCAATATGGAAGGCAAAGCCATGAACTACTAATCCATTATTTTATGGCCGGTTAACAGCTTCTCTACCTACAAATCGAATTTAAGGGGGGTGTATTCAATTGAGATTTTAAAAGACCATTTATGGATAAATAAGTCCAGTGGATTTTAAAAGACTATTTAAGAATGTAATGACTTATAAGATTTTTTTGAAAGATTTTTTATACTCAGGATTTTTTATGTTTGGATTTTAAAGATTTATATCATAAGAATTTATAAGATTTGAAAGGACCACATGGATTTTTTATTTGTACGATAACCAACCAACTTAGTTGTGGGCACTTGCATCAGCAATAACATAAATGGGATCAAATGGAATGGAACAATAAATAAAAGCAAACATTCAAAATTACAAGAGTCAATGAAAAAGATAACAAAGAAACACAATTTTAACAAAGAAAAGTAAAATTCAATAAAGTTTTCCCAATCTTTTAATAGCCAATTTGATGTAGCTTCATGTCCATCAAATTATAATCCAAAATAGTTCAACCAAGTTATAATCCAAATAGTTCAACCAAAGGACCCAAATAGTTTAACCAAATTACAATAACAATAGTTCAACCAAATTATAACTCAAATAGTTCAACCAAAGTAGAAGCAAAATAGCACAAACTAAAATATAGTTCAACAAAACCCAAGATGGTCAAAATACTAAAATCATCCTAACTTGAATTTTATCCGAGATGAGCGCTCTTCCAATGACATCTTCAAGAACAAGTCATTCTTTGCTTTATTACTAAGCAATTCACCTGCCATGTAACGAGTATTGTCATCCAAATTTGGTATCTCTTTTATAGCATCTCAAATATCCCCCTCTCTGTCTCTGTCTATTTCTCTTTTCTCCATTAGGTTAGATATTTTAACAAAATTGGCAGAAATAGTCTCAATGCCAATAGAAAGATTTTCTAGAACTTTGGCTTGATTGTTGGTCCCAACTAAGCTAGAACTCACTTCATACTCGGATCTATTTCGCTTATTGCGGCTTGGTTTTTCAGTGGAAACCTTCGAACCTAAAGGGGAATGAGATGGTGGACTGCATTGGCGGGGTGATGGAGGCTGGTAGGATGGTTCATAGTGATTTGATGCTATGAACGCATCATTGTTAGGATCATATGAAAAGTCTTCCATCCCAAAATCTCTATTTTCTTCCCAATAAGTTGTTGCATCGGTATCATCAGCGCCTAATGCAATGGAACCATTCCCAGTAGCAGTTCCACCCCCAACGACAATCTTCAAATCCTCATAATCAACTACACTTTTTTCTCGAAGTTTACTTTGACTTGGGTGGGACTAGCAAAGAAAAAATTATTCATTGTTAATATATTGCAAATAACATAATGCACTAAACTAGTAAGCTATTAATATATTTAAAAGATTATGAATTAAGCTCACCTTCAAGTAATCTTTCCATACTTCCTCACTAGTAGTGAACGTCTTTGCAATTGGGTCTCACCCAAAGCCAGAGTTGTTACGCATAAGCATCGACATCTTGTTATATTGCTTCTTAAACCACTTCATTCGACTCAAATAATGATTATAAGTTTTAGGGAACCTAATTTTCGCATTAAGACGAGGAAGTATCACTCTTTCTACATTTTGCTTGCTAAAGCATCTCGCAATCCACTATTGATAGCATCCACCAAGAGATGCAACAACTCATTGGTATCGTCCATGGTCCAAGATTCATAGTTCTCTTTCTCTTTGCCCTTTCCTTTGTTATTTCCTTGTTGTGAATCCCCCATTAAA